TAGCCCAAACTAACCACTGCACTAAAGTGCTAAGCGAAGACAAATCCGCCTAACAGCAGAACATCGCAAACAATTTCAGCGCTAATCCCAAACTGCAGTACAGGCACGTCAATAGCCTACGAAAGGTGAAACAACCATTTCCTCCACTCAGGATGACTGATGGCCCAATAAGGACGGCTCTGGAAGCAGCAAATGCTCTGCGGATGCAATATGCTCCCAAGTTTCAGATGGTCTTGTCACCGAGCGATTTTCCAAACTTTGGCATCTGCTCGCCAGGACTAACCCACATTACTTTTACCGCGGAGGCGCTATTGCGAAATCTGACGTCTCTACGTAAACATAGCTCGCCGGGCTTCGATGCCACTCGTTCAGAGGCACTGGAATCAGCAGCAAGCCGACTGGCAGGATATTCAGCTCAGGTTTTTCAGCGCTGCTTAGATCAGAATCAATTTCCCGCTATGTGGGAGCTTGGAATAGTAGCCCCGATTCAAAAAGGTGGAAGCAGAATTGAGCCCTCTAACTATCGCCCAGTATCCCTTCTTCCTATACTCTCCAAGGTGATGGAATCCATAGATGTCGATGCACCAGTGCGTTATCTGGAGAACTGTAACATCAAGCCTGAGCAGCACGGCTTCCGTCGACAGCGGTCATGCACAAAGAATTTACTAATCTCACTCAGTAGTTGGACCGAATCAGCCCACGCTGGAGAAGGCGTTGATATGATCCATCTGGAGTTTTCGAAGGCCTTCGATCGTCTAGACCATCGGACACTACTCACCAAGCTCCAGCATTACGGGATCGGCAACCCACTTTTAAGCTGGATTGCCAACTTTCTACTTCGATGGCAATTTGTGGTCAGAATTCGGAGCTCTTTATCGGACCCCATACAATTCGAGTATGGTGTGTCGCAATGCTCAGTTCTATGTCCACGTTTGCCTTTGCGTTTACTAATGACATTGTAAAGGAAATTGTTTCGAAGTTCCTAAAGTTTGTCGACGACATCAAGATCTGGCGCAGGATCCAGGTGAACCCCGACCATCATGTCTCAGAGTGATCTTGATAGGGTATATCAATGGTTAACGCAAAATGTACTGCATTGCAACGGGTGTAAATGCATGTTACTTTCCATCCGACTTCGAAGCGGCTACCCATACCGACTCAACACGAATATACTGCAAAAATCAGCTGTCGAAGGTGACGGGTGTCCTGGTTCAAGATGACTTGGGTTGCGGCAGTCAATCCGAAAATGCTTCGAAGACTGCAAACCAACACGTCGGGCTGTTGCAACGGGCATTTGGACAAATACACAGCTCCATATTTCAACACATGCTCTGTGTGTATGTTCGACCCCATGTCGAGGACGCAATTCAAGCCTAGCATCCATGGCTGAAACACGTCTTTAATGCACTGGAGTAGCCACAACGTCGGGCATCTAAGAACGTAACTGGAATGCGCTATTTTTCATCCCAGGTGTAGCAGCAACGATTGGGGGTATTCAGTGGAAGCTATCGCAGACTACGAGGCGACCTGATTATGGCATATTTGACTCTGCGAGACTCACATCATGTGTGTCGCCCTTTACTATGCCTCAGCACCCGTACCATCCTGAGAGGAACAGTATAGCCGTCTGGAGTGCTGCAGAAATTTTTTCCATTCGCCACTGTCACCCGTGGAATTCTGTCCCAGAATCGGTCGTCTCTGCACTGACACTAACAATAGTTAAAAGACGGTTGGATGACGCACTCATCCACATACTCTTTGTCAATTAACACTACGTCTCCATCCTGCACCTGAAGTTTACCATGGATTTATTTGAGAGCAACTGTGGGTGCTGCGAATCCAAGCGGATTGCAGTACTACAGCGGAGAATACGTTGTCTTTATTTCATAGTTAAAGTGCTAACTGTACTATTATTATTATTATTATTGAGATATTCCCACCAACTTGTAAAGCAACGCTGCTTAACCCGTATAAATTTATTGTTCATTCTTTTTTCTTAAAGCATTTATAATTGACCTTGCATCTTTAACCTGTTGAACCTGTTAAACATGTACTTAAAGGCTGGTTATTAACCTAGTGTCACACCCTTCCACTTTCTTGGTAAATGCAGTTCGAGTTGAAACAGTTCAACTCTACATGCTGTTGACGATGATGCTCGTAAATAATGAGTGCCCCTGTTAGAGCATACAAGGAACACTATATTTAACTTCTGAACCTGTGGTTACCGGAAATTTTGCCATCCTAGCCACGGTTAAAATTATGATTGCAGATGTTGTCAGCTCAGCATAGAATGAGAGTGAATGATTCCACTCTGAAGTACTGCTCTCTCAGATTCGAATTTCGGCATAAGCTGCTGGTTGGCGGTTCAATCCACCAGTGATCTTGAGTTCGGATCATGATGAAGCCGGTGGATTCGCACTACTGATGAGATTGGCTAAGTCAAAACGGCTGTCTGGTGCTTATCTGAGCATAGAAGCTGCTGCAATGAACTTCCAATAAATTGCACCAATAATCCCGAACTCATGAGGACATCAAAGCAAAAGTGGTTTTAGAAAACATCAGTACTGAGTAGATGGATCGGTGTTGATCGACCTGTCACTCAGCTAACTGCGGTGAATTCTGCTGGCGTTATCATCATGTGTCGAAGGCGTGAGAGCGACAACCGCAATCCATTTGACTCTGTTAAGAAATGGAGTTTGCTTGAAGATGGCTTAACAAACCTAGAGCTGGGTCACTTACTGTACCAGGTGGCGAAGCAATGTGATTTCGTCCATCCCAAGATCGCTTGAATCCGATAGCACTGCCACATATGCTGATTACAGCAAGTACCACTTCTTTGGAAACAGCGTATGAAGGAGTTTGCGAGAGTGATCCAAGTACCGCTTATCGATCTGCCAGTGAGTAGTTGTTGCAGGTTGTGTTCTGACTCGATTTCATTGTCGGAGTCGCAGAGAATGGTGAGACCAAATACAACGACGGACATAGTTGCCTTTTACTCTAAGTTTTTCTATGAACTGAACGATATCAAAAGTTTATCGAGTACTTGTCTAGTTGAGCCGGTTCATCACAGCTGCTCCTAACACGCCAAGCGAATTTGAACTATCATGCGTTTCGTTTCAATAAAGGCGACAGTAACCTCTCTACATAATACGAACCTTTCAGTGTGAAGATCTCCGTCATACTTCTGGGAAACTGATGCGAAGCATCTCGTAAACCATTACTGTTACTTGATCTGAAGTCTCATCTACTGTTTTATTAGCTTAAAACTGTTTACTCACTTTGTTGCCCGTTGTAATCCACGATGAAGTATAGAACGGGGTTGGGAATGACATTTCTGTGGTTTTAACACAATCTATTGCATGCTTCAATTTTGTCATATTTAGCTTCATTAAAATATGGCTTTCGTCTGATCACAGTGCTTTGAAGCAGATGCAGATGTGTGTTTGAGTGGTTACCAACTCCACATTTCGAAAGCGTATTCACAAGGACATTCCACAAAGATTACTTTATTGCCCACCATTGTTCATTGTATGTGGAAGTGAGCTATGTGAGCTGTCGCTTGTGGTTGCGGATAACGGTAAAGGCACAGACGGTAATCCTGATTGTTCTGAGTTTGCGACGGATGGTTGACAGCATTTGGAATGGGTGTTGTTTGTCACAGACATCTAAGAACCATGTATATTGCACAAAGTTCTTCAATGTATCTGAAGATCTCCGGAGGCGATGTATATTTTGCTAGAACGAATTTCATGTGTATTCAAGTAGAATGACTAAGATATCAGGCCACCATGGGACATCAAGTCGATTAAGAGATGAAGGAAATTAAACGCGCTGGGACTGACTGGTTCGGGATCTTCATGGGTTAAACGTTTTCCAGTTTGTTTTGACCTCTGCTAAACAGACTGTGGAATAATGTGTTCGTTTGCCTATGATATTAGACGTGACCAAGACGGCAGAAGTGCTTGCCTTGAGAGCTGATGTTATATGAATCACTGGCTAAGGAACTGTTGTATTCAGGTTAAGCAAACCCTACTGCGCTGCAGTTAAGCTGGTGGTTTTGTCATCCTTAATAATTGCATAAGAAAGATAACGATCAGCCGAGACCTACCACGGTCTTCTCAGCAAAATCGAAAGCTAATCCTTCCTCTTCGTCCGATGAACTTTTAAAAACCTCAATCCTATGGAGTTTGGACTGACCTATGTTGTCCATGTGGTTGTCTACTCCGATGACGAGCTTTCCTAATGTGTCGTCATTACAAGGACGCTGATTAACTTTGCTCATGGACCCGAGGACTTTGGCTTGCAGAGCAAAGCTTTTACTCCCTATCACAGCTGATATTCCTATTCTCATGGTCGAAATTTTTGCAGGTTTTGCTATCACATAAAGTGACACTGTGCACAACTTACCGTTATGTGGGCTATTATTGTGGGTTAGGGAAACGTTGGTTGATCACGGTGTGATCAGTGCATGCACATTATTGGCACCTAGATGGTAAAAGGAACCACCGAATTCTACCATGGCTCTAAGAAGCGATTGAGATGAAGCGGCTACATAGAGGCTAAGTTCTGCCTGCCCCACTTTAAGCAGAAGCCGAAATTCAGTTCCCATTAATCCCTAGAACGTGAGCTAATTCGAAACGCAACGCTCCAGGTGAGAGATAAGGCATTCGATCAGCATCAACAAATGACTGCAAAAGTGACAATGGAGAAAAGCGGCAGCTTCGGTTGATACTAACGAGAAGTCGCTACATCCAAACTCCGTTGGACAACTTGTGGAGCCATACGACTGCTGCGGACGATGACGCAACTAGTCCCGACTGCCTGCACAATATTCCCGCAAACCACCAGGTTACTCCGAAAATTACTTTATAACGTACAGCTGCTCCACCTAGCATGTTAGCACGAGCAATTAGTTAGCTGTGGCTTTTCCAAATGGGTGAGAAAAAGCACAGAGGGTATGCGCCCAACTACTCATTGGCAACGTTTACGTTGTGTCTTACCTTCTTGTCGTTGATTGTCCTGGTTTATACGACATACTTTCATTGAATTCCAACATCTATCCGCTGGTGTTGATGATAGAATACCCCTCGTGGCAACTTTCTTCACGAGCACGGCTCCTTTTTGTTCCTGTGAAGCCTGCGATGTGCGGTCACTACTCATAGTGTGGTGTGCGGATGGCAATTGCTGGTCTCCCAAGCAGGAAGCCCTATAGACCTTGGAGAAGATAGAAGGGTTTGGTTAGCTCGAGACAAATCAGTCAGTCAGCCGCATTACTTATTATTGTTATATTGACACAACGCTCCACACAGTATATTGAGACGTTTTGCGGTTTCTCCATCTACACAAAATATAAACTACACCGCCCCATTCCCTTATAGATGTCAACAAAGCCGGTACCATGTGTGACCAAAGAGGCGCCACCAATGGCATGGAGTCCATGGTATTACCCCCTCTAATAACCGAACCAGAAGCGCTTAACAAAAAGTCGCATATGTAATGGGCTCCACTGTCTCAGATTTTCTGTTTCATCTCTTCATATAACACAGTCGTCATACGCTCATTCGAAGCAGATTATCTTCCCGTATTCCGTGGTCACATTATTACAAAATTGTTCCCCACATATCATGCTCTGTGTAACCCAAGCTTTTTTAACACGATTTATGCTCATATCCAGAATTGCAACTCTACTGGTTTTCAGAAACTTTCACTTTTGCGAAGTTGCGTGTACTGAAGGATTATCAGCGCTATCTGACCATGCTAGGATTACTTCTGCAGAATCCCTTCTAAAGAAGCTACGACTTATTTGGTGGCTTTGATGGTATCCGAGTATCGCCCACACTTATTCGCTGATATCCGCATACTACAAGCCAATTTAAAGGGCTAAGCCTAACACAAACCAGTGTCAATCTATGACCAGCCAAACTGCATGCGCGTATGACAACAACGAAGCCCGAGAGACTGTGACGAAGGAAGTGGGGAATCATTCATCTTCCGCCTCACGTGATCGGATAGGTGCAGCCTTCCGTTGCAACAATGTTCGCCACTGCACATGACTTCATCCGGCTATAAATATGCGGAACCAAAATATGTATGGTTGGTCAAGCTAGTTTTGATCAGTTCAAATGGTGCCTTTGCGTTCCACCCTAAGTGCGGTGGCATAAGTCAACTAGCAACAAAGGGAGAAATCCATCTAGCTGATGTGCACTGGTTTTGTTAAATATGCAGATGCATTCCAATTGTTAACTGTATGTTGTTGCTCAGAAAATAATACGAAAAACTGAAACAGTCGGGCAGGTGGTAGTTTTCGGGACTTTGCCATTTCAATTTAGCAAGACGGATCTTGCACCCCATCAGCACTCTCTGAGCTCTGTTCCTAGGTGTAAGAGTAAAATCAGTCTTGCTAACCGCCACACAGATTCTGCACCACCTACTGCAACATCTGCTGACACTTTAAGTTGGCAAGTCATAATCTGATTTTGGGCTTTTAACCCATTCTTGGAAGCTGCACCTAACTAATTGGTCCCAACAGCGGCACCCCAGAGTTAGGTAACATACACATCGGTCGCCTAGATAAAAACGCCGAAAGCGATACCCGGATGTCCATCTTAGGTAACGAGCACGAACAACGCAACTCAACTTTCATGACCCTCTCTTATGCGGGCTAAGCAATGCAACTCAACAGCTGCAACTCTCAAACCGACATTCGCTAGGCAGGAGCACAATGCGTTAACTGTCGTTTGCACTAACGTTCCCTAGTCCAAATCTATCACAATGAAAAACAAAGATAATAGACGATCGCAATCAGTGGAATGCAGTCCGCGATGTGATTAGTATTTGGGTTGAACCCATTATGCTAAGACGTGTGGTGTGTCACCTAACTTCAGTGCACTGCGGTAAATCGCGATTTCTTCGTGTGACATTGAACTTAGGCGAGGAGTCAGAGGCGGTCTTACTCACAGCAGCTCTTTGTCGCCACTCATGGAGCGGTGTACGTTCACTACCCACTATTCCTCGGAAATGGCGGTCAAATGTGACCAATAACCATAGCGTCCCTCCTCCAAACGATAGCAAGAAGACCACATTTGATACCTTGGAACATATTTAGAACCGATCGGGAAGTGATCGTTTCAGAAAACTTGGTGGACGACCGGTTGTTATATTTATGGTGATGCGCAACCTTGATTTTGACATAAAAGCGAAACGTTGTACATCACCATAAATATATTAACCGATCGTCTACCAAATTTTTTGAAATGAAGGCCACATTTGTTCCAAATTTTCCTCTACTACTTGATTCTCCTGATGACTATGCGCAAAAGCGAGATCGAGAGCAGTAGTGGTATGTCTGCGAAGCACTGTTCCTGGACAACGTTATGGTTAAATCGTTGATGAAAACTCATTCATCACTAAACTACAAGGGTTGCGGTACAAGGTTAAGAAGAGTGGTGATGACCTCCGAAGGAATGGCAGCAGTCTCATTGGATAGCTGGATGAAGTTTCGCTCCAGGTTGCCAATCGAGACACGGTCAAAGCTAGCAAGCGCACGTCCAGTAGTGGTCAGAAATTGACTGAAACATGCAATCTCAATAAAACCTTTGCCACTGCAGTCCGGTAGAGTGAGATACACAAAGGCACTCGAGGCACCCGACAGGACAGAGACACACGATAGAACATCACGATCTGGAACGCACTGTGTTACCTTGCAGCTTGACTGAAAATAAGAAACTACAGGTCAAACCAAAATACGATTGACAGCCAACTGCCAACCAGTCGGCTTAAAGCTAAACAGGAAGTTGACGTCCTTTAACACACTTTAACATCAAAAACAGTATTATGTTTGCATACTAAAGCCTAAGGCTTTCTTAGTAAGCCAGACGTCACAACTGCGGGTTCTCACCATGGATACGGAGACATGGTTTAGCATTGAGATGGGGATTCTGACATCAATTTACCTGGTATGTCGCTGCTTCGGAAATATTTAACTGGAAGGGGCGATGGTGTAATGCTTTATTACAAGGCTAACCTCCAATATAAACCTATTGATCACTCAGAGGCTATTTCCCCTGATTCGCTTCGGTGCCGGTCATGGTTGCAGAACCAAGACTGAGCAAACTTTACCTTCGAAATGGACAGCAAACTGAACCGCGTTATGCAAATTGCTTTGAAAAAGCCATACAGCCACGTTGAAACGCCAGCAACCGATGGTGCACCGTTTCAAGTTTGTTTGCCAGGGCTAATTTTACCTGCTATTTGTACAACCACATAAGGTCTCCCACTAGATTTCGAGCTACTAACAGGTAGTTGCTACTAGATCTGGTACTCACCAACGAAGAACAAATGGTTGATGGCATAGTTGCAAGAACATCATTAGGTCCCAATGACCATTTTACTCTATTGTTTAACTCCATGTGCCATGCGGAATATCCAGAAGCAGAGGATAATAAAGGGTATACTGTCATGCACTTCTGTGCGTTATCGGATACTGTTAAGGACATTTATTGGACCACCTTAGTGAATACTCTATAGATGTCTGTTGAACATTGAGCACACTGGTAACGCACCGGTCGGAACAGAACTCATTTCTTCAGCAAAGCGACAAGTCATTTCTTAAAAGCAGAACACGTAAATGCATATTCGTGAGGAATTTGACTTGGAGAGCTCACAAAGACTGACCGAGTGCGGAAATCTGGACTGCATACGTAGCATAATGTAAATTTTGTGTGAACTTGGTCCACGAGGACAAGGCGACGCATCAGTAGAGGTTAATGGAGCGATTCTGCACGAGCCGCAAACTCTCATACAGACACGTTAATATCCTACGTTAGGTGAAGCGCGGAATTTCAGCACTGGTCACGAATGACGAGTACAGGTTATTCAGCAACGGAAGCAGGCGATCTCTTACGTTTCAATTAATCACACAAGCACCAGAGTGTAAAGGGCCCAAATATTATCCCTGTTTCATTTGTCCCACTGTCAGGCTTACCCAACATCACCTTTACTGCAGAAACTGTGTTAAAGAGACTGATGCCTTCCTGTACCCAGAGCTCTCCTGGTGTCAATAACATTTGACCGAAGGCTCTACAGGCAAGGTTTAGTAAACTGTTGGAATCCATGGATATTTGTTAACGGTGCCGTCTACAAAAGAACCATATTCCACCGATATGGAAGCAAGTGGTCATCACTCCTATTCATAGGTGAGGCAGTTGCACTGACTCTACTAATTACCGTCCGATAACGCTGCATTCCGTGTTTTCCAGTGTTATGGGATCAATCATCGCAGATGCACTCACTGATGCAGTAAATGGAAAATCACAGTATAATAGCCCCAGAGCAAAATGCTTTCTGCCAAAACCGCTCATGTACCATGAACCTGTTAACTGCACACAAAAACTGCACTGAACAATGGAACGATGGTTTTTTATGTGGATAAAAAGCTACAGCTTCACATGGCTTATAGGATAGTCATAATGAATATTGAAAAATATGAAGAAATTGTCGGCGAAAGTGAGTTTACGTCGGTGTACTCATCGAAGTATAATTGTCAAAAACTGTAAATCGACAGTAAGTCTGTAAGTAGTGACGACAAGTGGGACGTTAATGAACATTGTACTGCCTCCTCGTGAACACATACAGGAGGTGAAAAAGGGGGAACGTATTCTGGGAGCTGACCGGCAGTGAAATCTCTACTAGGCACATGTGTTTAGTCATGGGTTATGAGTCATGTGAGGTGTTGTAGCGAAATCAATGCATGGTCAACTCGGGCTTTGAACTCTACCAGCGTGGGTAGGGCATTCCACACATTGCAAACGCGTACGGAAATAACTTTCAACAGCCATCCAAAGACTCTACTGCTCTGCCACCTTGAGACGGTGACCCCTGAAATTACTTTTGTGACTGAGCTCTATCAAATGGCAGCATGGCTTGCAGAACAACCTCCTCGTGGTGCCTGCTGGGTGGTTCGGGAGTAACACATTCCAGCGAATAGTTCGGTGGCAGTGTTCCAGGACGTCAACCAGGCTGTCAACCATATATATGGCTGACGGCATCCAGTTCCGGATTTGCCTGTCACTGTGGCCAGCCACAGGACGCATGCGACTACAAAAGGATCATGGGTGGCTTGCGCTGCACCACCCACACCTCCATTCACACACTCCATATCCAGTGTAAACCCGAAGGAATAAGACCGAGACACATGTGGATGGAGCCACGTTTCA